CCATATCCGAGTGATCCCAGGCAAAGACATCTGAATTGCCCCGAATGACCCTGATCACTACTTCCTTCTCTTCGGCTGTGCAAGATGGGCCAATGTAGGTGACCTTCTGAGGGTCTCCGAGGACTACCTCTATAGCTTCGAGGGACTCCTCGGTAGGTGCTTCAGCCTCGGCTTCTTCCTCTGCCTTGAGATACTTGGACAGAGGATATTGTAACTGCTATTTGATTGCGCCTTTAGGATTCGTCTCTAACTGAGGTGATTTCGACGCCTTTTTTGCTTCGTGTAGCGTTAGCATGTAACATTCTTTTGCAGCCACCTGGTCTCCCCAGAGGTCGATGACTTCCCTGCCATCTCAGGATAAACACCTCATTTCTTGATGAAGGGTAGAGGGGACTCCGTTCATACGATGGATCCAACCTCTCCCCATAATGAGGTTATAAGATGGGTGAATCTCCGTCACGACAAAGTTCTCCTTCAGAGTCCTCTTTGCTGCAGTAACGGATAGATCGATCACCCCAAGCGGATTCACCTTAGTACCATCAAATCCCATTAGGGGGCTGGAAGTTGGCCTGATGGACAATGGTGAAACCCCCAACTGATCAAAAGCTGTTTTTGTAATGATGTTGGCGCTACTTCCCGGATCTATCAGCACTCTCCTGATCATATAATTCGCTACCAGGAGGCTGATGACCAAGGGGTCCTCATGCGGGTGCTGGACTCTAGAAAGATCATTGTTACCGAATCCAATGTTGACGCTGCCTGGTGCAACCGTGTTTACCAAAGACAATCTTCGTAACTTATGAGCCTCTCTCAGCCTGGATCTATACAACTCTTCAGACTCTTCATCATCCTCTGACCTTCCGTGTATAGCATGGATAACCTTTACCTGACCGCCCTCTACCCGTCGAGGGTTAACCTCCCGAGGTTTTACGTGCTCCTTCGTGGCGAGATACTCCACCAACTCTCCTCTCGCTATCATGCTTTCTACCTGTCGCTGTAGGGACCTGCAGTCATTGGTGGTATGCCCATAGTCTCTATGGTAGGCACAATGTTTGCTTTTGTCCCTCTGCTCCAAGGGTTGTTTCATGGGCTAAGGAGTCGCGAACCTCGTCTTATTCTCTTGGAATAGGCGCGCCAAGGTAGTACGGAGAGGGGTAAACCTGTCCTCTGTCCTTCGCCTCTTCTCAGACGCTTGGGTGACTTGCGTGGCGGTATGAGGAACCTTCTGCATCCTTGTGCTTGCAGCTTTTTCTCGAGACTTGTTCTCCACTGTGACAAGGGTAGAGTGCTGTGCACGGTGGGCTACGTTTTCCTCCAACCAAATGTAGATTTGTGCCCTAACGTTCAAAGTCTGCATATCCGGGGGGGAATATTTAACCAAGGATGTGTGAAACTTGGTTCCCTGGATCATTGCCAACTTAAATGTTTCGATTGCCGTGGCAGGGTAGCAATCTGCTATCTCCGAAGCCTCCATGTTAAACCTGGATAAAAAATCTTGCAGAGTTTATCCCTTCCTTTGCCTTATGGTGAAAAAGCTGGCGATACTTTTCTTCTGCTTCTTATTTCCGCAATACTGGGTTAAGAACATAGTGCACAAGGTCTTATAATCAGGGATAGACTTGTGTGGCCTATTCCTGAACCATTCTAACGCTGCTCCGGTTAAACTGGTAGGAAAAACCTTACACATCCACGGATCGTTATGATCATCCAGTGCCATCTTTTGTGCATAATGATCGAGATGCCGAGAGGGGTCTCCTGCCCCATCGAACTGGGTGAATGATGGCATAGTGAACTTCTTTGGTCTCTCCACAAGGTACACCTCATCAGTAAAGGGGGTCTTGACCAAGGAGTTTTTGTGCTCTCTAGCCATCTCAGCTGGTGTCTGAACTCTTAAGAGCTTCTTTTCATCGAAGGCATCTTGTACGCGTGCGCCATCTGGAACGCCATTGGACCATACCGTAAGCCTATGGCTGGACTCGGCCTGTTCGTCCTGTGTGCGATGCGGGAGATTATCCGAAGCAACCGCCTCGGACCTCGTCCCTTGCTTTTGCTGAACCTCATTAAGTCGAGCCCCGTTGGGTGGTGTCTCGTTGGCTGGAGGCTCGTGAACCGGAGGTAAATTCCGGGTGGGGGGTGGTGCTGCAGCATCGCCTGGTGGCGGTTGTGGCGTTAGCCTGGCCATGGCCGTATGCAGCGTATGAGTCTGCTGCTGAAGCGCAGCTATCTGGGCGACACTCGTATCGTTTGCTTGCCGGAGTGTCTCAAATTGGTGCAAGAACTCTTCTCGCATCTTTTGCATCAATTCTATCTGTTGATTCATTGCTGACTCTCCGTTTGACATTCCAGACACGACTAAGGATTTGATTTGAAGAACAAGTGGAAGTATATTTTTATACGTTTCCCACAGACGGCGCCAAAGTGTAGGTGCAGAATTTCGCTCAACCAATAATGATTAAGAAAAATAAAACAACTCACTCAACAAATAATGAAAATAAACAAGAACAGTATATCGAGAAGCGTAGAATTGCTTGATCCTTTATTGGAGGTCTTAGCCTCTATTTATATACAAAAGATTGCAAAATTATGGTAGGACTCGCGTTACTTGCCCTCCAATTCTTTCTATATAACCATTCTTTTCTAATAGAGTTCTTTCCATTGTCGAATTTTCCATACATAGAACTTGCCTTGTACAGAACTTCCTATCTCAGAATTTTCCTTCTACAGTAAATCCTTCAACTGGTAGGACTTGTGCATTCTTGGGCTGAATATATTTTGATCCGGCTGGGCTTGAGTAACAGGCCGGATGTTAAATATTCATAAGCTGGGCTGATGACTTCTTGATTCGGCCTTGATGGAAGTTGGAGGACAAATAACAATGGTCTTGGGGTGTAAATACCCTCAACTTGGGCTTGAGCATGATAGGCCTTATATGTCCTTGGAATGTAAATATGGGTAGTGGTGACGTGTGCGCTTTTTATTGGAGGGAGTTTTTTTCCCTCCACAATTAGTTTTCTTCATTTTACTTGTCTTATGTTTCATGACTATTAAATTAAACAACCCTTCTACTGTGTGATACATAAACAGATTTGGCCCTTACAATTGCAAAGCGGTGCGAATATTTAGTTGCTCAACGAGACGAACATGGGATGACTGCTCTTCAACATCTTGCATGTAATGCAGCAGTATTTGAAACAAGGAAGACGGGATTTTTGAAGCGTTTTTTCTACCGCTGTAAGATACATTTTCAGGGAAGAATAATACAATACATACCATTTGCTTTAGATTTTTCTTACACACGCATATAGATTCAAACTCAAGAACACAAGTACGTACCCTGTTAATAGAATTAGAGTTGATACCCTAACCACCTGACACTTCAAAAACTTTTGCTGATATATATGTATTTATTTGAGAAATCTTTACTACATAGTCCACACCGGGGGTGCAATCTTAATTGGACGGGTCAACCTAAAGTCAACCCAAGCTCAATCTATTTTTTTACGAGTTTGGGCAATCATTTTTAAAATTAGGGTTCAGTCTATATTGAAAAATCTCAACCCACACTTAATTAGAAATGAATTTTGATTGAACTGCTAGCAACCTCACCCAACTCGATTTTAATTTTAATTTTTATTTTTTTCATATATTTTTAATTTAAAATATAGTATTTATGATATTCAAATTCTAATCACCATTATCTTTTCAATTCTCTTTTTAAAAATTTCATTTATTATATCTTAACAATTTGAAGAAATAATTCCTTAAGAATCTGTTTGCAATTTTTTAGAAATTTACATTAAGTTTATATATATATATATATTAGCAGTAATCTAATATGAAACGAACTTAAAATCACTTTAATTTTTTTAGTGTGGAGACCAATCATATAGGCAACTTGATTTAACTTAAAATCTAAGCTCTAGTTGCAAACTCATGTCTACAAAGTTAAATGTGTTGGGCTCAAATTGAGTAATTAGAGTTAGTTAAAAGTTGAATTAGAATTAGATATTTCATATATTGGATTGGGCCGAATTAAATTTCCAATCTCCAACTTGCTTAAGTTGCAACCCTACTCTATTATACTTCATATCTTTTACATTTCGGTTGTTTTTTTTTGTAACAAAAAGACATAATTGACATTAAAATATAAATCTCACAACTATTATATATTGTGCATGAGTGGACGTCAAGGATCGTCTATATTGGGCACCACCTGAAGGTGATTGATCCAAGCATCGAAGAGCATTTTGATCCGTCATAATTTTGTCATTTGTTAATAAATAAATAAATTCAAATGGAGTGCAAAAGGATAAAATTTGGACTTGTTTGGTTTGTAATTCTGAAAACAGTTACCAAGAATTCAGAGAACAGAACTATTTTAAGACAATTCTCTAAAAACAAACTTTTTTATAACTGAATTTTCAGAAAATAATTTTCAAGAAACTGAACCAATCATAATTTTTTGTACAGATTTCTAAAAATAGAAACTATTTTCAGAGTTACAAACCAAGCAAGTAAAAATTGTGAACATTGCATCCCCAGCTTTATATGCATATAGTTACATTTTCTAATATATATATATATGCTCCAACACAGAAAGATCACCCTAAATAAATAAAGTTGGTGTTTACCGAGGGCCTTGTGGCCTAATAGTATCTCTTCTACATTCCAAAGTGGATGGTGAGGTATCAAATTTCCAAATGAGTATAGTGAGCATGTGAGTAATGTGTATGTTTCTTGTCAATGAAAAAAATAAATAAAATTGGTTCTTTTTAAGCCTCTTGAAAGCTAAAAATTTAATACTACTTACTCGTGCCCTGAGAAGAAAATTCCTTGCCCTCCAAACTAGTAGATCAAGGGTTGAAGGTAAAATAAAATAAAATTATATAACAATACAACACCATATATAGTCCCATTATTGTTACTTTTCATGTAATACTGACTTTGATTTGTTGGAAATCAAGATGCACAGGTTTGTAGAGTGCCTTTGTGGGAAGCAATTAGGAAGGAAATGGTGAAATATGAATCAGCTAAGAAACTTGCCATCTTTTTAGTAGCAAAAGACAATACATCATGGAAGCAAACTTATCATCATCTACAAGCTACGCCCAGTGAGACCGAAAACAATGGAGGGCCATCAATATCATCATCATCAGCTTCCAATATTTCTGTAAAGAAAAGCAATAATACAGAAACACCATTATTTTTGGCAATTAAAGTTGGGTGTGTGGATATTGTTGAGATGATACTCCGATTGTACCCTCAGGCAGTTGAGCATGTTGATGGAAATGAGGCTACCATTTTACATGTAGCCGTCAAGTACCGGCAACTATGGGTCTTTTACGTGTTGCATCAAGTGGGAATTTCTTGGAGGAGGCTTATTGTGCGAAAAGACACATATTTGAATACCATTCTACATATGGTTGGACAAGATTGTACATTCGAACCAGTACAAGGAAACCCTATACTCCAACTGCAAAGTGAATTGCTCTTGTTTGAGGTACATGCAATTCTATGGTGCCATTCATTGATTTGCCCACATACACAATCTCACTTCTTTCCGAATATGAGAAAGGGCTGGTGGTCGCACACTGCTGTGGGGCTGTGAGTCCCACAAGCTCCTCTCACATTTGGATAGTTTATTTTGATACGTTGAAAACTTTCATCCACTGTAGCACCCTCATTTCTGCATAGGGATGGCAATGAGGCAGGGCGGGATCTCATTCCCCATCCCTGGTAATTTTTTTCATTCCAGCCCCCATCCCTATATAAAATTTCACTTCAATCCCCGCCCCCGCCCCCGCCCCCCATTCCCTATCCCCACCCCGCAATCCCCATCCCCATTTAATATACACTATAATTTTTTTAACAAATAATTTTTCTTTTTTTCAGAAGTATGTTTATATATACTTAATATAATTTAGTAAATCATAATATATAAGGGTATTTTAGTCAATGTACACCCTAAACAGGGCGGGACAAGGCGGGTTTACCCCATCCCCGTTTGCATAAAAGGGTCTCCAAACCCGCCCTAAACGGGGCAGGGTGAGGCGGGGACCGGCCGGGGATGGGGAATTTGTCATCCCTATTTCCGCAACACGGATGGGTTGTCCTTGTGTCTTTTCTAATGCCAAGCACTCCACTCCATACAAAATTACTTCTCTAATAACCGTTCTATAGAATTTCACTTTTAATTTATTTGGTATTCTTTTGTCACAAAGTATACTACTAGTTTGCCTCCATTTTGTCCACCCTGCTCTAATTCTACTCACTACATAACCATTCATCTCCCCAATTAGGTAACAAACGTAATTATTTTGAGTAAATCTTTGATCCTCAATTGTAATATTTATATGGTCATCATTTGTTAGTTTATCAAATTTACATTCCATTTATTCTGTTTTAGTTTTACTAATTTTTAAGCCTTTTCAGTCTACATTCTTTCTCCATGTTTCTAATTTTGTTGCTAAGGCTTCCTTAGAAGTATCTACCAAAACTATGTCATCCACAAATAACATACACCATGAAATGTTTTCGTCAACATTTTTTGTTATTTCGTCTAACACTATCGCAAATAGGCATGGACTTAACATCGAACCTTTGGTGTAATCCCACTTTGATAGGAAATTTGCTAGTCTCTCCACATGTAGTGTGTGTGCGTGTGTGCGCGCGCGTCTCCTGAGTTATAAGCTTTACAGCTGCTTGTTTTCTTTCCAGAACCCACCAAATTATGTTCCTTGGCACCGTATAGTATTTATATATCCTGAATAAGTCTTTTTGTTTACTTCTATATTCTACCATTAGATGTCTTACTAAAGTATATAACTTCCATAGTAGATCTACCTAGCATAAATTTGAATTGATTATCATGTATTTATTTTTTTCCTTAATTGTTGCTCAATTATCCTTCCCATAATTTTATTGTATGACTCATTAATTTAATTTCTCTATAATTCCCACAATTTTGTATCACTTTTATTTTTATAAATTGGTACTATTATGTTTTTGATCTATAGATTTATATATAGTGCTGGTGTGTGTGGAACTGTGGATGCAGCATGTAAAGGAAATTTGCTCATCGTGTTCAGAGGATTTAAGTTTGCATCGCAACTGTGAAGGGGAGACTGCTAAAGAAGTATTTGTTAAGAACAAGGAACACCTTCGCGCGAAAGCTGTAAAACAGGTGAGGTTCAGAATAGAAACTGTTGCATGGCTTGGTGTGTTTATGGCCTCTGTCGCCTTTTCCACAGTCTACACACTACCAGGAGGTTTAGACGAAAAAACAGGCGTCCCAAACTTTCTGAACCAACCATTCTTTCTCATTTTTATCATCTCCGATGCCCTTTGCTTTACATGCACTGCCATTTCATTACTTTTGTTTTCCCCAGCCCTCATATCATTGTACTTCAAGCTCACTGTTACACTAAGCATAGCAGCAGGTACTGCATTTATATTGCTCGCAGTGTCAATGCAGGTATTGGCATTCACCGCCACCATCGTCCTTATAGTGCAGGAGAGAGCGCATCACTGGCCAAGAATTGGCTTTTTCCCCATCGAATTCCTCCCATTTACCTCTTATCTCTCCTCTTCGTGCCTTCCTACTTAATTATTGCGCGAATGGTCTTCATGTCCAACATCTACATAACAGGAGTTACAGGCCGTGGAACTAGCGGCTTTTCCTTTCAATCTTGCATGGCGCATTTATTCTGCTACCATAAATTTATAACACCGCCTCCCTCTAACCCAACTCCAGTTGAAGAAACTACCACATCCGTTGTTTGATAGGCGGATTGAAACACCTTCCTTTCCTGCAAGATGAGATGATCCTTCCTTTCTACATTTCTTTCCTATATTGCCGAATGATTCCAAGTTTTGTTGCAATGTCAATTGATTCCTCGTATGGTTTTAAATTTTTCATGATGTACTTTTTTATTGTGATGACTATACAGTTTGCATACCATGCTTCGCACTGGTGCAAATTTGAATCACGAGAGATTAAAATTATTTCCAATCCATCGTGAATTTAAATCCCGAGAGCAGTCACTTTGCACAAATATTGCAAAAGATTAAATTTATTTCCAATCCATCCCTCCTAACACCCTTGTTTAATGGGACCACAATGAAGAATTGCTCTTTATAGAAGGCAGGAGATGACCATGTTCGAAAGTCCGTGGTAACCAAGTAAACAGCCGGTTGGATGAAACCATATATGCATATATAGAGTTTTTACGGTTTTACACCTCAACTGTGAAACAATATTATCCTATCAGTTTCACAATTTTAGGAACTAGAATCGAACTGTTGGCCTCAACATAAATCATTCTTCGCAAGAATAAGGAAGTAAGGCTTTGTTGAGTTGACTAATAGTTCTATACTTAACTTTAAGGAAAAATTACATATACATGGAGTCAAAGTTCCATATTTACTTAGAGACTGAGTCAAAGTTTCATATTTCTCTAAAATGGATTGCTGAGGTGGCACATGATTTTTTACTGTTTAGAAAATTGTGGTGCCTAAAATGCCCTTTCCTAACAAAAAAGTAGTACCTTCAGTGTAAAAAAGTAGTACCTTCAATTCAAAAAAGTAGTACCTTCGGAGAAAAAGTAGTACCTTCGCGGGTGTTTAAAAAACATGGTACCTGGACGCCAAAAAGTAGTACCTTCAGTTCAAAAAAGTAATACCTTCGAAGAAAAAGTAGTACCTTCGTGGAAGGGTATTTTAGGTACCACAATTTCTAAACAGTAAAAAACCATGTGCCACCTCAGCAATCCATTTTAGAGAAATATGGAACTTTGACTCAGCCTCTAAGTAAATATGAAACTTTGACTCCATTTATATGTAATTTTCCCTAACTTTAAACTAATCACTAGCATGGCAATTCATTATTCATCAACTTCATGAACTGGATAAAAAAAAAAAAAACAAACTGGTTAAGATATACGCAAATAAATAAAGACGGTGATTGGTCACATGTCAATCTCATTCGAAACACACACAGAAAAATTTGATAGAACATTTGGTGTTCGATGAGGATTCATCAAACTCAGCACAGACCTGCTTAAGCTTGCCTTTCGAAAAGCAGGCTTGGTGGAAGAATTTGAACAATGCTTTCAGTAGCTTCCGCTAATGGGTGTCAAAATCCAAGTACATTCTATAGGCATTTCGGTCAGAAGAGTAGTAACCTTCTATGAGGCTGTCAATTTGGAAACCAAGTTTCTTGTAGAGATTCACGGCTGGAACTCTCAAGGGATCGACATGGAGTGATATGCGGTGGACATTTCTAGCTCTGCATTTCTGAATTGCTGTTTTCAGCAGTGCCTCTCCATGGCCTAGCCTCCTACAGTTCTCCTTCACTATTTTTGTTTACCATTAAAGAAGAAAAATGTGACCATACTATTAGAGTTAAATTTAAAATAAAAATCCAATTCTAGCTGATTTAACCAATTTGACATTTTCACAATAGACAAATCAACCAAGCATCCAAAGAAATGAAACATAGAACCCACAAAGGATGCATTTGTGCAATCTAATCAAGTGAGGACTCCTTTTTCATCTATCTTCTTATGGCATTTTCTCCCACTATTTGGAACTTTTTATGACCCTCCTTGAAAGAGAGGCCTGATAGAACAGAGGTAGTAAATAAGAGGGCAAATTACCCCGACCTCCCTGGAGATTTTCTCAAATTACCCTTAGATTCAACTCATAAAGAAAAGAAAAGAAAAAAAGGTATGTTCAACCTCCCTTGAGGTTTGTTTGATTGAGATAACTCTAACCTCTCCTGTCGGTAGTTGATCGTTAGGCCAATTAAAAGTCAGTTAAATAAATACGTGAAATGCTAAAACTACCCTCCTTTGCATCAAAATGACTAAATGGACCTTACGACCTACCTCAAATTAATAAATGCCCAAAATACCCTTAAAGCCAACACTTTAAGGTCAATTGAAAATCTCTTCTATATCACTCGAACCTGAAGGTGTTTACTCTCTCTCGTTCCTCTCACTCTCTCTCTCAGCTTTTAGAGACACATGGAACACTAATTTCTAAGAATTACATTGTTGTTTCAATAATTGAAGGGACAAAAATCGAAATCGAAATATAATAGAAGTCATAGTAGTAACATACTAAGATAATGAAGAATGCGGAGGGATTAAAATATATGTGTTCGAGCATGTATGTTGCACTATGACAACAAGAGATGGTGTATGATACAAGTGCCTGAAGATATGAACAAAAGAAGTGCAGAACTGTCATTATGAGCGGTTTTGTGTTTGGAAAGATGGCTTTTGGCTTTTAAAATTGGGAAATTGATTAGAGCGGAGGGGATTAAATACGCATTGGAGATTAAATTAAACACACACTCTCTCTCCCTCCCTCTTTACAACATTTCCATAGAGATCATACAGCACCACCATCGACTCCTCCATGGCCGTCATCAACACCAATATTTGACCCAATCTCGACAGTGATGGATTTTGATGTCAAATTTAGGGCACAAAATATTATTTTCCAAAAAACAAATTCAGGGCACATAATTGGGTTGAATTAAATTGTAGTTTCGAATTGTTGAATTTGATTCAATAAACTTGCTACACCTTCCAAACTAAAACTCCCTCTAGCAAGAGTTAGGAACTATACTGATAGATGCCCATTGTGGCTTAGTGAAGTGGACGTTCCTAATTGTAATCTCTCTGCTTTAATTGAATAAGATCTTTTGGAGCTTTTAAGAGATACCAAATTATCACAGTGTCATATACATTTCCCAAATGGGTATTTTTGCAGATTCACCAAATCTATCTCATATCCACAAATATAACCTAATAATCCACAAAAGCTAGCATTCTAATTAAGAACGCAATATAAAACATAATTATTGCAAATTAGATACTTTCAACAATGGATTACCAATTTTATATCCACAAAAAAACCTATATCTATAGCTATATGTCTTAATACGCATATATTAACAAGGATTAAACTGTAGAGAGAATAAGTTTTGAACCTGCAAGTTTTGTAATGGAGGCGCACAGTGAAGAAGGCCATGAATACATGACATAGCCTGCAACTTCTCCGTCGACGACAGAGTAAAGCAATCCACAGTTTTTCTTCTTGAGTTCGTCGTCGAAGGATCTAGCAAGCGATTCGTGCTTTGGGAAGATCTTCTTCTCCAGTTTCACTATCTCTTCGATTACTTTAGCCCACTTGATCGATTTTCTCTGCAGCTCTTCTACCACCAGACTCTCCATTTGTTGGTGCGTTTTGATGATACACATCCCCTCCGGTCTTCTTGCACCGTGTTTGGGAGTTCTAGGTAAAAAAAGTAGTAAATAAATTCTACTGTAGTAATTACTAGAAAACAAGGGTAGTACAACGAATATCCACAAAATAGGACCCTTTTTTTTCATAATTATATAATATGATATTATATAAATAAAAATTGAATTTTTATTATTTTATCAATGCCTTTTTTAATTGGCAAAAAAATATAGGCACAATCACTTGCTTACATGAAGACTTGAACTTTCTACCTTCAACTTCGGCTAGAAACGGAAGCTACATGGATATTATTTGCTAGATGGATATTATTTTTGTTTTCAAAAATTTTATATTATTTTTTTTCATTAATTCATAATGTGTTTTATGTTTTTATATTTTTTTAAAAATAAAAAAGTAATATTTATTCAACAAAAATAATATGCATTAATTTTTTTTTTTTTTTTTAGCTAATTTGACTGCCCATCACTGACAAGGAGAGTCGTGTTACAAGGTTTGTTTTTTTAAAAGAGGTTTAAATAATTTTAGAAACAAAGAGGGGATTCTTGTCATTATGACAAAATTTAAAGAATGCAATTATAATTTATTTATAAAAAATTTTATGTTTTTAGTTTTTCTGCCTGCTACTGCTACTATACGACAATGTCCGAGTCCCGCGACAATCTCATACCGCCGAACATATGTAGAGATGTACACACACAGTTGATTGACGTTCCTGCAAATACATGAGAGACCACAAAATGAAGTGGGGAAAGAAGTAACAGTGTGGCTAACAGAGTAAGGAGGACATGGTGTTTGTACATTTGCCGCCGAGTTCCATATCTGCTCCTCCAGCAAGATTTTTAAGCGCCAATTTTGGTGGGTCGCTAATTTTATCTCATAGAAATGAAGCTGTTTTCTCTTCCTCTCTTTCCATCTCCAAATTGAGCCCCATATCTTCTTCCAAGTGTTCTTGCATTAAAGAGGAACACACAACCAGAGCATCTGAGGTAGATTTTTTTTTGTTTATTAGCTGTCTATTTTCTCATAAAACAATAACATTTAGGGATTTGGGAAAGTGAAGATTTCTAACCCTATTTTTTTTTTTTATGTTTTTTCTTTTTTTGTTATCTACGTATTTTTAACATTTAGGTATTATCAATCTGCCAATAATAATAATAAAGGGGTAGTATCTTTGGTCAGTTAATTTTGCACAAGTTTAGATTTTTATAGATTATATAAAGTAGTATTTTTGTTCTGTATTGTGTTCTAAGTCGAATAATTTGGAAATTGGGTGGTTGTGTGAATTGAATTTAACAGGGTTTCTCAGTGTTGGGATCAGATATTCCTTGGGACGGTGAGGCTACATGGAGCACCATGGCTTTGTATTTGTTCAGTTTACACATCCCCATGAGTTTTGGAGGGTTGTCTGTGGTTGCCTACATGTTGCATCGACCTATTCTTGACTTGCAGACTGAGGTGTGTGGATTCTTGATTTCCATGATAATTTTGATGAGTAACGTTATGTAGATAGTAGGAGAAAGTGGAACATATAACTTAACGTAAACCCCCACCTCAATTTTCACTGAGATGAAAAGGGTGGCCTTTCTCTTGACATAATTCAGTAGCATGCTCGGCTTTTTATCAGTATGGTGTGAAGTATGCCAAACTGATCAGGATTTCTTTTGGGTTTGTATTCGACATTCTGATATGTAGATAATGACCTCACTTGAAACCATTTTGCTAAAATGATAACTGAGAATGAATAACCGGTGATACTTGATGATATAGAAATGTGAACACCTTCAGGGGGTACTCTTAGTATCAGGGTCCATGCCAAGAACTGTGTGGGCCTATGCATCCCTGACTCATGTGATATTTATGATTTACTATCATCTGGTTGAGTTCATGAATCAATCTTCAAGCACACAAATATTTCATAGTGTCTACAGCTTCTTAGATTGATTCAATTTGAACAAAACAATTGCCACCTCTATGAGAATTGGATATAATTCGTTTCATATGAATTATGGGGCTTTCCCATAGGGATTTGATATTTGCATGATTCTAGACAACAATGATGTATTCCTTTGTTTATGCTGAATTCAATGACCCATTCTAAATCTATGGCATGTTCGAAATTCTGCCCCTTAAAAGTTTAAGGAAATTGCCATACATTTTTCTGTTAAAATGTGTCATAGACCGAATTATTTATCAAGTTTGAGAATGATTACATTGTATGCTGATATTGGACTTATATTTCTCCTATTCAGCACAGGCGTTGTCACTACTTGCAATTCAAACGTTTGAGCTCACTGGAGTATTGTGGCTACTAAGGTGCATTGCGAAGCCAGAATATAAGCTTGTTAACTTGTTCCAAGCTGACAAACTATCAAAAGATAGGAACTGGTTGACAGCATCAACACTGGGCTTTGGGTTTCTTATCTTATTGGTTTTCATTACATCACTGCTTGCTGACCAATTGATAGGGCCCAAGGTTGGTTTAGTGAACTGTATTTTCTTTTCCTTGATGCTTTCATATTCCTAGTATTTAATTAAATTACAAATTGTGGTTGCATGCTTTTTGTGTTTAGTAAAGTTTCTTACAAGAATTTGGAAACTGTATTTATACATAGTTCATCTTCATATATGAACAATAATGGTGAATTTTTATAAAAAAAAAAAAAAAAAAAAAAAATCCAAACCCTGTCTTGACTCCTAGTAGGTTCATATTGTTGGAGGGAGTAGCTTGATTTGCAATGTAAATGACACAATCATGATATTTATAACATACCTCTTGGGTATCTTTTATTTTTATTTTTATTATTTCGGGGTTTACATAAAGCTGTTGGGTAAACTTCTTCTTCTTCTTCTCTCTCTTTGTTTTTCCCTTGAGAGAGAGAGAGAGAGAGAGAGAGAGAGAGAGAGAGCATTAGAATTTCAATTTTCAAAGTTATAGTCCTTGGAATTTCAGTTTCTAAGACAAGGAAAGTAATGATCCAGAGCGAATATGTCGTTGGCAGATTAACATTTATAGCAATACACACAACTCATTGTTGTTTCCTCAATTCCTCCTTGTATATTTTAGGAATAACGGTCAGGTAATATAGGACTAGAGTTCTCCCTCTCTCTCTATTGATTGGACAATTTTATATCTCTCTCAGTACATGACAGAATTTTAGTTTTTTGCCCAAGACTTCAACCGAACTGTATCCATATGATGAACCTTGTTATTATGCATGCCATTTTTTCAATTAAATCTTTATGCTAAAATTGTTAAACAACTCTTTCCTGGGGGAACAAACAAGAACATTGGTTGGAAGGAAAGTGTGGCTGGGGAGAGAGAGGGGCAACTTTCTCCTGTGAATTATTATATATGAAGTGGTATGCTGGCCCACTTTGCATAGCTAATTCTTTCAATGTTCAATAGTTCTCCAATGAAATTTTTTCATCATGATTAAAATAAATAAATAAAAGACTGGAATGCACCACTTGATAAATCCCAATAATAGATCATTTTATTGTATGGTGGTTTAAGTTAACGATGTTTTAACCACTTGGTGAGTTGGTATATATACTTTACTATTTCAAACCTTTTGAGACATGTTTGACCTTACACAGTTGTCAACCATACTTGGTAGCTGATATTTGAAGAAAGCAGAACTTTTGTATTATATCTTACTCTACCAAGTCAATGATGCATATTGATCTTTCTCCTGTCCACCGATGCGTGTATTTCCAATGCGGGAGTGAAAAACGATTTCTAGATGAACTGAGGAACTGCAAATTATATTTTTCTATAGTGATAGAAGCATTTATTGAATGGGGAATTGCATAGTGTCTTTAAGTTTGGGGAGTTTTCATGGTATCTTGATTGTGGCTTTACATGTAAAAGAGATTACCATCTTGGACCAAGTTAATTCTTTTTTCCCACTCTCTTTCTCATGTACTAATCTCACTTAGTTAATCACTTTCAAAAAAATTCACATTTCTAAAACTATGACTATAAATCCTTACTTTAGATTGTGTTTCACCCACTAAAACTATAGAGCAGAAACAGAACAATTATGTTTGAGAATTGGAAATAGTTGTCCTCTAAAAATTTATCCAAGAGAGCGTTTGGAAGAGTAATTTGTAAAATGCAACAACGGCAAAGTTTTTTTTCCCAACTACTTGGCGTTGGCTAATGGTTCTGACAAATGCTTTAAGCTGGCTGTCAGGCTACCTGATGCAACTGTCCTTTTTCCAGGCTTGGGACCCACTGTATGGAGATAAGGCACTAAACATAACACAGTGGAATTAGTAATTTTATGATGCTTCAAAATTTTTAGATGGTTTTTTTGGAATGATAGTTGGGAAAAGATTTTAACTTAGCTTCTGGAGTTCTATATCTGTTTGGACTGGGCAGCCTAATGGTGATGGGAATGACTAGGTAGCTTAGGTTGTTTTGCCTGAGGGTGAATTACATGTGGGCAGCAATTGAAACTTCTTCCAAATCCTCTTCCTTCAGTCCCTTACGCCCGTGCTTTGGTTCAGTCATCACATTTCTTGCCACTCTTTTTATTCTGGTTGAACATCAATAACCATTTTTCTTCACCAGATATACTTGTCCAAATGACATCTCTAAGGAATTTGTATTTTCTGTAGGCTTCAGGTTGGATTGTTGGGGAATTTTGGCTTGGTCAGCAAGATTGATACTAGGGGTCAGGTGATGATCTGTTGAATAAGAAACTTGAGGGAGAATATTTAGAGAGTTTGGTGCCTGTAGTTGCTATAGCTGATTTAGTATATCATGTATGCATTCATGGATCAGTTAGTATGAAAATTTGTGATATTTGGGCCATCTCTGTTGTCTGGAAAACTGTCATCTATTTGCAGCCCATTATAGATATTGTTTTCTGTTTGGTTAGTCCATGTTGTTGGTGTGGAGTTTTTTTCGTTCTCTACAGTAATTTTTAATTAGAAGAGGTATGGTTCCTCAGGTTAACTCTTCTCTGGTCTGATGTGAAGGATTTACCTTTTCCTGTCACCCAGCTAAAGGGACAGCCAAAATAGAAGTTTTTAGTTTATGAATTGGATCCTCTA